GGGGGGGGGGGGGGGTGTGAAGAGAGGAAATGGCCTCTTCCTCCCAGCACTTCACATAAGGCCAGGAGCTGAAAGAGGCATGCTGGGAGATGCTGCTTCTACACATTGGGACCCTGCTGCTGTGGGTGATGACCATGGTTTGGGGGCAAGGTTTAAGCTACCCCACCCTGGGCAAGTCTAGTTTGCACAGGCCAGTTTCTATCTACTCTAAGTGGAGTCGCAGCAGGGAAGGTGCCACGCATCCCAGACTAGAGGAGGCAGCAGGCTCGGAAAAGCAGCATTCCATCCGGAGAGGACAGGTGCAGGGAGATGCTCTCGTTGGCAGAGATGAAAAGCACCGAGCCCCGGCGCAGGGTCATTTCAGACACCGCAGCAGTGGAGGTGGCCACGGCCGTGCCTTGGATCACCAGCAGGATACTGGCAGAGTCAACAGCGGAGATGAGGTACAGCTTAATAGAGGAGGGGATCTGCAAGGGAAACCATAGAAACTGGAAGTCTGGCTCAAATTCCTGGCCGAGTTTCTGCCTCCTTGAGGATGCAGGAAGCACTCGGACTCGTCTCAGAACCCACGGCATGGGGCCTCAACACTGGAGCCTGCCTCTGCCCACAGCAGCTCCAGCCCCTTGTGTGCTGGGAGATGACAGCTTAACTCAAAGCAGCCAAGCTCCAGCTGCTGGAGTCAGTCTCTACTTCACTCCCACCAACCCCTGCCCTGTTGAGAGACGAGCAGCCAGGGGTGATACAACGGTGCTCAGGCGGCTGAGACGCAACATCCATACTGCCTATCACCACCTCCCTCAACGAGGCCCAGCTAGGACACCAAGCCAAGCACTGAGCGCTGCTTACTAGGTTTAAACGCCTCTGGAGAGGCTTGGCTTCCCCCTGGGGCAGTAGCTTTCAGGCCCGGGCAGAAGAGCGAATGACATGCAGCCCAGAAAAGAGGTGGGTGTATCTCCCCCATGCCCCCATTCCCAGAAAAGTGAAACCAGCCAACCCTGGTCAGTTTCACAGCAGGAAACCCCTCTGCAGGAGCAGCTGCTGGATGGGGGG